AGATGAAAAAAAAAACAGAAAAAAATAGATAAAAAACACAACAATGCAAGTGGCTAGCCCAATAAAAGACTTACATTGTTACAAAACGATGATGCAGCGGCAATAAGTGCGCCAGCAAGATCTCCTTGTACTTCCTCGCTACCCTCGATATTGTCATCGAAAGAATTGCAGACAGCTAAGGTCTGCTCAATCGTGTCTGGATGGAAGCGATGCGTGAAGAAGTGTCGGAAGCTGGAAAAAGACAGAAACTAATTCTGGCAAAAACCCAATCACTCGATATAACAAAGACTCACTAATATGATATCATTGCCTGGTTCCTAGTAATGACCATCAAGTGAGGATCAAGCGCTCGTGATCTTGACACTAAGCCGTCCGAACGAAGAATCTAAACGACAAAGTGGACGTGGAGGAACACAATTATCAAAGAAAATCTAGAAGGTTTGAAGTAATCCCAAGCAAAAGAATTACGACAGAGAAAAAATCAGTGTGAACTTTACCTGCAAAGCCTTTGAAATTACAGCTGCCGATATTTGGTCTAATATTGATTCCGAGAAAGCGCCATCCGTAGAATGGATAAGGATCGACTACAAAATCACATACGTTGAAAAGTGATGCTTGCTTGCAGGTAACCCACCAACAAGATGTTTACAGCCACGCAGTGGTGGATATGCGTGAGTGATTTGGGTGTCTGTGATCGCAGTGGTACTGGGCTCATCAAAGATTGTTCTGCGGAGACGACCATCTAAATGAAGTGAACACTCTTTGATATGAAAAGATCGAACAAACGCTGATGGTACAAAAACAGAAGTTTCGGATGAAAACAAGCTGAAAAAGGGAAGTATATCGACTGCTACACCCAACTCACGTGGCTGTTCCTCAAGTATGCCTCAAATTGCTTATTCGAAGTTGCTGTCACCGGCAAAGCTTGATGTTCTCTACAAAGTCAACCATAAGAGACCCAAGCTGACGCTAGTAGGAAACTCACATGTACAGAAGTCGATTCGCGATATCGAAAGCATTTTTGAAGAAAGAAGTTTTGGATTCAGCAGTTGAAAGGGGTGCCGACGCCAGTTGAAAGCGTAGATCTCGCATTTCCTGGAAATGAGGTTACTGGACACTTGCTTTTCTTCTCATCCTCGGACGATTCACCGGAACTCAGGACAAGCCAGATTTGCAGAAGTTCCGCAGGTCTTTGTTTACTATTGCAAAAGTGAAAACGTTGAAAATGGG